CCCCTCCCCCATGGTCTTCTGTTAAGTTTCTCAGGATCCACATAAGAGTGAAAACATATGGTATCTGTCTTTCCCTACCATTGTTTCTAGGTTAAAACATCACACAGCCCTCAGAGATCTAACTTCAGTACCTCCGACTTGCTCTGCTTCCTCCAGCCATTTTGATAATATTGCTTTTAGTTTGCATGCATTTTTAAAGCTGAGCTGCAGGTTTTCAAATCGGCAGATAGTCGTTTGACTGAATTCTGAGCCATGCACAGCTGCCAGGGCTTCCCCAACATTGGTTTGGGTGTATCCTGTGAGAGGGCAATAAAGACCCATTAGCTCCAGCTGTTCAAGAAAGATTCACTTTGGTCTTTCTTTTGGTCTTTAACTATGAAGTATTTCTTTTAAGCATATGCATTGGCAATTTAGAACTGTTTAGTAAGTTCCATGTAGAATTGTCAAGTACTTCAAAAAATACTCTTAGTTAATTTTTTCTAGAAGGCAAAACAATTCAGACAGGAATGTCTGCCATTCACAGTACTTAGTGACATTGGATAGAGGTGTCAAACATTTTATAAGACACTAAAACATTTTTGCTGTCTTTATTAAATGTCTGATGATATATGCTAAAAAATACAGTGTATTAAATATGATGCATAAAATGTATGATATACCACAAATATTTTTATCTCAACTATAAAATTTTCAACTATATTGCTAAAGGGTACCAAGTAAAACTAAGAATTATGTTTACTTTCCCTAAAAACATGTTTATTACAAGACTGTGATCACCCAGTATTTTACATGTATCTTCGAGGACATTTATTATATCATTTGGTAATGCTTCAGGCCAAAGATCCTCATCGATTGTCCCAAAACATTTTTAGAGTACAAGTTGATATCAACCATCAGCATTGAATTTGAAATATTAACAGCAATATAAATAGCTCATTGAAAATGGTTGTTGTAAAGATGCCTATTGCTGTGTTTATCATATATAGTCATTGCATATTAATTCAGGGCCAATAGCTATATATCTGTATGCATAAAATGGTTACATACAATGCCCATCAATAAATATTACAAAATTACCTGTGGTTCATTCCACAGGTGCGGAGGGTGGAACTATCATTTTCAATCCATTTAAAAGATACACTACTTCATGAATTTAAATCAAGGTTAATTTTTATAGTTATTTTATGTTAAAAAACACTATTGAATAGAAAGCGTGCAAAGGCTATCTACAGTTCACAAAGAATTCCAAATGACTATAAAACACATGAAGTACCGCTTTTCAATCTTCACTCAAATTTAAAATGAAAGTACCATGAGGTACCACTTTGACCTATCTGATTTACCTGATTTGCAAAGACCCAAAAGATTAAACCACATTTTTCTTCAACAATTTTATTCTGTGTGCTGTCGGTCACTGTTCTAAGTGCCAAGGATATGCTTTTAAGGAAAAATAAAAATAAAAAATTCCTGCCTTCATAAAGATTATATTCTGAGCAGTTTGCCAAGAGACACTCGTGGTGGTAAAATTTGGTACAACCTCTATACAGACCAATTTGACAACATCTATCAAAATTACAAATACACACACTTTAATTAAGAAATTGTGTTTTTAACATTTGTCCTACATATAAATTTATGTAGGTACAAAATGGCATTTATGATGTGAATCATCATAGGATTTTTTTAAAAATGAGTTTATTTTGAGAGAGAGACATAGTGTGGAAGCAGGGGAGGGGCAGAGAGAGAGGGAGAGGGAGAGGGGGAGAGGGGGGGAGAGAGAGAGAGAGAGAGAGAGAGAGAGAGAGAGAGAGAGAGAGAATCCCAAGTGGGCTCTGCACTGTCAGCATGGAGCCCAAAGTGGGGCTCAAACTCATGCACCGTGAGATTGTGACCGGAGTCAAAATCAAGAGTCGGATGCTCAACCGAATGAGCCACCCAGATGCCCCTGTAGGAGGACTGTTTAACAATGTAAGATTGGAGACGACCTGAATTTACCATCAATAGGGACTGATTAAATAATAAATTCATGTGACGGAATTTGATAGACCCATTAAAAAAAACTATTAGGAAAGCTCTCTAAAATAAACAGTTAAATAAAAAATATCTGGGGGCACCTGAGTGGTTCAGTTGGTTGAGCATCTGACTCTTGATTTTGGTTTAGATCATGATCTCATGGTTTATAGGTTCAAGTTCCATGTCAGGCTCTGCTGATCATGGAGCCTGCTCGGGATTCTCTGTCTCCCTCTTTGTCCAGCCCTCTTCTAAATAAATAAACATAAAAAATATTTTGAAAAAATCTATATTGAAAGGTCTGTATAGTTGCTTATATGTACATAAGGTATCTCTGGAAGGATGCAAAGAAACCTGATAAACAGGAAAGACAAACAGAAAGCATATATTTCACTTACGCCCCTTATGCCTTCGAATCATATGAATGACTTATCTATTCCTAAGTTCAAATAAAATAGAAAAACAAGTACTTCAAGACAAATTTTGAGGTAGGTAAGTGGGAAAAAATAGCATTAACGTAAAAACCTATGTATTTAGGATGTTAAGAATTAACAAGGAGATAAAGGTTTTTGTAGGATTTCCATAATTGGAGTAACTTATATCCACAGCAGAGATGTAGAATGAGAACTGTCTTAGACTTCTGAGTAGAGTATAAGAGACTGAACAGTAATATAGTAAGGATTTGCAGACTAAGGTGTATGCCTGTTACTCTTAAAAAGTGCATACCTAACTTAATTCTTCTCACTTTAAATTCATTGGCAAACTTCTCAAGTTCTCGGATTTCCGGAGAATCCATGTCTATCGGCTCTTCAATCAATTTACTTTTCCGCCTGAGTTCCTGCTTGAAATCAGTGACGGTGTGGTCTTCTGCCAGAAGAGGCTGGTGCATGGGAGGAAAGCCATGACTCAAGGTGTGGTCAGGAAACTTGTAAAGACAAGGGGTTAAGCTACCTGTGAATAAACAAAGAGAGGAAAGGAAAGGGATTTGTGATTGTCCGCCATTTCTATACAAGCAAAAGTTTTGCACCTTTGAAACCATTATTTCCCTACAGCTGTCAAAATTAAAAAAAGATTTTTTTTTCATATTTATTTGAGAAAGAGAGGGGGAGGAGCAGAGAGAGAGAGGGAGACAGGGAATCCCAACCACCTCCATGCTGTCAGCCCAGAGCCCAACATAGGGCTTGATCTCAGAAACTGTGAGATCATGACCTGAGCGGAAATCGAGTTGGATGCTTAACTGACTGAGCCAACCAGGCGCCCCTAGCTATCACAGTTCTAAAAGGTTCAGTAACATTCAGCCTTCTAAAATAGCAGTCAGAGTAGCTTAGTAAAAATGATGTTTCTTTTCCACCTTCCCCAGAGCAGCAAAAACAAAAATAATGCCAAAGGAAAAAAGCAGGGAATTGCAAATAATTAAAATAGAAATAAGCAAATACTCTCAGAAGTATGTTTCCCACTATTTCATTTTTCTCTTAAAAGACACCTGTTCCTGTGAATCTGAGGTTCAACTAAAACTGGAATGTAGATTTCAATCTCTGTTATTTTAATTCATTACGCAAATAATCTGTGATGTTTATTATAAACAAGGCATATGCTTAAAGTGCTGTGCTGGGAAGGTTTCTTAGTATTAGAAAATTAATTTTACAATATTAAGAAGCTCCCCTGTTTTATCAGTCAATGCTTAATTTCAAGGGAAAATAATCGTCTTTTTTTTTTTAATTTAACAAAGGCAGGTGAAAAGAAAATAATGAGAACATGAAATACATTAATATGGTTAAATAGATTCAAGGAGTGAAAGGAAAAAAGGTAATTTTTAAAGTTCTATTAAAAGGCAGCATCAAGATTTCTTGAAAAGTATACAATATAATGGAATCATTTCTTGATTATTATTGAAGAAGCAAAACTAATGACAAGGAAGGGTGCAATTCTAGATATGATAGGCAATCGCCCATAAATGATGAAGCATTAGATCAACTGACTGAGCTAAATAATAAATCACAAAAACACTAAAAGATGTAATTTTTTAAAAACTTCTTCCAGATCTCATTCTGTACTAGAAAAGGAGAGTCTCAGTTGGGGAGCATGGGTGGATGACAGGACAGCATCAGCCAAATTTCGACACATTTTATTTCTGTTTTCCTCATCAATACATTGTTTTTATTGGTAGAGATTTCACTTCAATTTATAGTTAATGACACTTGTATAAGCAAGACATTTTATACAAATAAAATACTTGGTAATTTATCATTTTTCTTATGAGTATAAATAAATATTTAAGCTAAAAATAAATTACTATAGAATGTATGCAATAATCATTCTTGGAAACACTGAAAAAATATATCAAGTTTATGCTACCTATTATTTTTCTATAAATACATTCACAAATCAAAGACATGAGTAATAATGTAATTTTCTAGAATATATAAATCTTATATTAATATATCAATATGTAATAACCAAAGAATAGTGTAAGTCAGCAAATGATCGACTTGCATTATTTATATGACAATATGTAATTATAAAGTGTGCCCCTTTCCATAGACTATGTCCTTTTTGGGAGCAAAGTAATATACAAGTGAGGAGTTAAACAAAAATAGCATAAAATAAATTTAGCTGCTGTGAAATATATTTGAAAGAAACTATTCCTGTCTAAAAAAATTGATGCTGCTTTTACAAACTCAAATTACCCAGTTTTACTTTTTAAAGTCTGTTAATTGTCCACTCTATGCTTTAGTGGGTGGTATATTGATCAGACAAGATAAAATTTTCAAAAGCAGTTCTATCAATTTTTAAAATGTTTATTAATTTCTTTTTTTTTTAATGTTTATTTTTGAGAGAGAGAAAGAGACAGAGAGTGAGTGGTGGAGGGGCAGAGAGCTAGGGAGACACAGAATCTGAAGCAGCCTCCAGGCTCTGAGCGGTCAGAGGTCGATGTGGGGCTTTAACTCATGAACCATGAGATTATGACCTGAGCTGAAGTCGGACATGCAACTGACTGAGCCACCCAGGTGTCCCAATGTTTACTAATTTCTATTAGCTTTGCATTTCTGCTAGTTGAAGTAAAAGAAATTACATAAAAGGAAACCGATCACGTTTATTTTAGGATTTGCTTAATATTTATCTCAAGACTTTGCTTCCACTTAGGCTTTAAGAGTTGGTACTCAGATATATGAAAACAATCTTCACTTCTTGTATCATTCAGAAACACCAAATGTCACTCAAGACACTTAATGATGAAGTACTATGAGAAAGAGTAAAAGCAGCGAGAAAAAAATAAGCTGCTGAGGTTTTTTCTCTACCTTACTATTATTTTTTGTATTGAAGTATATTTGACACGCAATGTTACGTTGGTTCCGGTATACGCCATAGTGATTGGATGACTCTGTGTTTGCTGTGCTTGCTCTAAGTATAGCTACTGCCATCTGTCACCAGATGATGCTGTTACAATATCATTGACCACAGGGGCGCCTGGGTGGCTCAGTCGGTTGAGCGTCCGGCTTCGGCTCAGGTCATGATCTCACAGTCCGTGAGTTGGAGCCCCACGTCGGGCTCTGTGCTGACAGCTCAGAGCCTGGAGCCTGCTTCAGATTCTGTGTCTCCCTCTCTCTCTGACCCTCCCCTGTTCATGCTCTCTGTCCCAAAAATAAACATTAAAAAAAAATTTAAGCAAGATCATTGACCGCATTCCTTGTGCTCTACCTTTCATCCCTGTGGCTTACTCATTCCATACCTGGAAGCCTGTATCTCCTACTCCCCCTCACCCATTTTGCCCATGTCTCTCCCTCTTTCCTTTGGCAACCATCAGTTTTTTCTTTGTATTTATGGGTCTGTTTCTGCTTTGTTTGTTCATTTGTTTTTTTAGATTCCACATACAAGTAAACTCATTTGGGATTTGTCTTTCTCTGACTTATTTCACTTAGCATAATACTCTCTAGCTCCATCCGTGACAAATGGCCATCTCATTCTTTAAGGCAGAGTAATATCCCACTGTGTATATATATGTACCATCTGCTGTGTGATTTTACACATTTAATGTATTTTAAAGCACTTCAGATAACTCATTTTACCTAAGTCAAATTTTTATTTTCCATAAATAATTTGTTACATATCTTTTATATGCTATGCCATAAGGTCTGAATTTATTAGCCTTTGTGGTCATCGTTTTTGATTTTTCTTGCTGACCATAGTCACACACTGCTACAAATCTACGTGATACTTTGTGCTGTGTCCATTTCGCACTTGTCATCTTGTCTTTATATAAGTGAAATAGAAACAAATTTTATTCACAATTTAAAATTTAGAAAATTTAAGTAAAAGGAAGTTAAACAACCTCCATTGGATGCTACAATGAATCAACTATACAGCTAAAACCAGATCTAAAGTCCAATGAGCACTGTAATAAACCACACTGAAATAATTACCTCATTCAATTTTTAGGCAATCTGTACTCAGGTAAGCCAAATGTACTTTCCTTTAAAGACATCTGCAGTTTAAATATATTTGGCTACATTAAACATATACTTTCAGATGAAAATATTATAGTTTATTAAAATATTAGAAGAGAGCCACCTCTATTTCTGGAAAATTATAGAGGTAGTTTATACATTATAAATACCCTGGAAAGGGGTGCCTGGGTGGCTGAGTCCCTTAAGCATCTGACTCTTGATTTCGGCTCACGTCATGATCTCACAGTCCATGAGTTTGAACCCTGCATCTGACAGTTCAGACCCTGCTTGGGATTCTCTCTCTGCCTCTCCCCTGCGTTCTCTCTCACCCTCTCTCTCAAAATAAATAAATAAACTTAAAAAATACTCTGGGGAAATCAACATTTAAAATATAAATTTGAACGTGAGTCCATGAAAAGTACACAGGAGATACTATGTTCAAAGGTTTGGCATCCAGAGCAAAGGAAAACACAATGTGTGATATGTTTGCATTTTTCATTAAGTGAATATATCCACAGTTATCTGCACAGACACATTTCTCCTGGAATTAACTTTAAACAGAAATTCATGACAGTCATAAGCAAAGGCAAAGTGCTGTGTGTCTCATATGATCCTATATTTGGGGGAGAGTGGACAGTGACTGGTAGGGTATGTATGGAAAGATATTAAATCTTTCTGAAGCACTGATTAAAAACAAAAACAAAAACGGGGCACCTGGGTAGCTCAGTTGGTTAAGCGTCCGACTTTGGCTCAGGTCATGATCTCACGGTTCGTGGGTTTGGGCCCGTGTGAGGCTCTGTCCTGACAGCTCAGAGCCTGGAGCCTGCTTCGGATTTTGTCTCCTCTCTCTCTGCCCCTCCCCTGCTCATGCTCTGTCTCTCTCAAAAGTAAATAAATGTTAAAAAAGAGATGTCATAAAAAAATTTTAAAAAATGGGAAGAAGATAAAAGAAGCAATGAATCCTCTGTAGCCAGAGTCTCATAAACAATTTCCAAAACACGGATAAAGCAGTGTGAGCCTAGAGAAGCACACAGCTAAACCTCTTGGAAGTGTTTGCACCTTCTTTACAGTCTGAAGTATATTTTCATGTTGTAGATTAATCCACCCAAACCTTTCTTTTATTTGTGTTGAGAGAGGGAGAGGGCACGAGCAGGGAAGGGGAGGAGAGGGAAGGAGAGAGAGAATCTTGTACCATCAGTGCTCAGTCAGATGTGGGGCTTGAACTCACAGACTGTGAGATCAAGACCTGAGCAGAATGCTTAATGGACAGAGCCACCCAGGTGCTCCTCACAAAAGCTTTCCTAAATTGCCGGGTCATATATTTCCATGTGGTGGACGTGGGAGAAGAAAAGAGGTAAATCTTTTAAAGCTAGCAATGGGGAGGCCGAGGTGGCTGGTTCAACACACTATGGTATGGGGCGAATTGCTCTTCCGGAGCACGTGGCTCTGGATGCTGACAATGTCTCTGAGGGTCCGGACTTGAAGCCTTACAAGAACACACAGGGGAACCAGAGGGACACAGTAAAATTCACCATTTTGCTGGAGACATGCAAAGGAATGTGTATTTCAATGTTTTCATTCATTCATTTATTTATTTGTTTGTTTTTCTTCACACCTGACCAAGTGAGGCAAACCGGAAGTGTGAATTGTGATCTTTTCTATGCACAGTGAAAATCTTATCCATATACAGCAGGGATCCTCTGCATGGTTTTGTAATTTATTTGGAACACAGCCATGCCCATTTGTTTCCACGTGGCCTGGGAATGCTTTCCTGCTACAGTGATCAAATTGAGTAGTTGAGAGAATAAGAAAACTTAGGGAAAATGCCTCATGTTACTGCTACGAAACAGTTTTTTCTGATTCAGAGGTTAAAAAACAAACAAACAAAAACCCCAAATCTTCAGAATTACTTCCTCCCTCAGAGTCAACACCACCAGAACAAGTTAGGGAGAAACAAAACAAAAAAGGAGAAGTAGAAAAAAGGAGGAGAAAGAAGGAAGAAGAGAAAGGAAGAGGAAGGAAGGAGTCGGGGAGGAATGAGGAACTGCAGAGGGGGAGACAAAGGAGGAGAAGAGGAAAGAAAACAACTTCAGAATGAGAGCTGGGCTCCAAAGTTGACTATTTCTCTATGTCAACCATCAAACTGATTTCTGTTGTCTATTGCATACGAGCAGTTAGAGAGGGCATTTTCGGTCATAATTATCTTTTCTTATTCACTTATTATTAAAAAGAAACAAAACAAAACAACGCGGGTGCCTGGATGGTTCAGTCAGTTACACTTCGAACTTCAGCTCAGGTCATACTCACACAATTCGTGGGTTCTAGCCCCGTGTCAGGCTTTGTGCTGACAGCTCAGAGCCTGGAGCCTGCTTTGGATTCTGCATCTCCCTCTCTCTCTGCCCCTCCCCCATTTTCTTTCTTTCTCAAAAGTAAACTTTAAAAAAAAATTCATCTTTCCAAACCTCAGCTATTTTACTTTTCTCTTGAAATTAATTTTTTTTTAATGTTTTATTTATTTTTGAGACAGGGAGAGACAGAGCATGAACAGGGGCGGGTCAGAGAGAGGGAGACACAGAATCTGAAACAGGCTCCAGGCTCCGAGCTGTCAGCACAGAGCCCGACGCGGGGCTCGAACTCACGAACCGTGAGATCATGACCTGAGCCGAAGTCAGACGGCCAACCGACTGAGCCACCCAGGAGCCCCCCTCTTGAAATTAATTTTTAAATGAGGACTCTCATACCTCATTTTGGCTTGGCCGTTATACAATATGACCTTGCTGTGTTTAACACACATTACTGTGCTGCTGATTTGCTCAGTTTCCCCAGGATGGTGGGCAGAGCGGACAGCCCACTGAGCGTGTTGCCTAGCTTTCACCCCCCTTCAGAAACTGGAGAAGAGAAACAATTTCAAATACTCAAGAATTAGCATTTGAGGTCTTTTTGTTGTTCTTTTGTGTTGTGTTCATCTAGAAGAGACTTTGAAGAGCTTTTTTTAAATTTTTTAAATTGACATTGAAAAATTTTTTTATTTTAAATAAAGAGAGTAGGGGAGAGGGGCAGAGGAAGAGAGAGAGAATCTTAAGCAGGCCCCTTGCTCGTGCGGAATCCCACATAGGGCTCAATCCCATGATTCTGGGATCATGACCGGAGCCAAAGTCAAGAGTTGAACGCTCAACCTACTGAGCCACCAGCCTCCCCTTAAAGAGCAATTTTAATTCACTGTTTCCTGTTATCCATGTTGTAGGCTTTTGAATAATCTAAATTCTCAGGGATGAAGGGACAGAAGAAGGCATTTAGCTGCAACAGTATCTAAAGAGAAGATCATGGGAAAGCCAGGTCAAGTTGGTACAAATTTGCCACAATTCAACCTCAATAAAGTTGTAGCTCTCACCACAACTCAGATAGGACGAGATTGAAACTCAGAGAGGCTAAGTGACTTGAACAGGTTTGTAATTAGTTCATGGTGTGGCTAATTCATCGTGCCCAATGAATCTTTCTCTTTGGTGTGCCCACATATGGATAAGGCATAGTGGATTCATTTCATAATTTAAAAAATCCTCCCTACTAACCTTAATAAATATTAGCTATAGCTCTTCCCTTCCAGTGGGTTATTAATTTAACAAAACATTCAAACTAAATGTAAGCATCAGAGTACGGGTATAAGAGTACCACAGTAAAATAAAGCAATTTCACATCCTTTGAAATATATGTCTTTCTCTAGATTCATTTCATATCGCATACATGACAATAAAACTGTCTTTATTGTAGATAATAAGACACTTCTGCGGAGTGTGGGCAAGTGGCTGATTTGATGAATGCTCTGAGGCTTCTCAGAAAATTCCAATGACATAGCCAGGTTTCTCTGGTGTATTTTACATCTCTGCGCTCTTATTTTTGAATTCCTGCGTTTTATAACTCAATTTGTGTAGCTTCTCTGGGGATAAAGACAGAAGAGTTCGGATTCTCTGGGGTTTAATCTATGATGCAAAAACCAATACTAAATATATGTCAAAATAATGACATTCCAATAATAAAGCATATCACTCTCAAAAGATATTCAAATATAATCTCGATGCTTGCCACGGTGAGTTTTTCTTTCGGTGACTAAATATAAATAACTTTTAAGACTCTAGCGATACATTCAAGTCTTAGCATGACCATGTTGCTGCTCATGTCACTAACGCAGGCTTTGGATAATTTTAAAGGGCTTTTCTGGAAGCTCTCCTTTTCAACTGCAGTGAGGAAGAGGGTTTGCTGAGTGCCTGCTGAGGGGGCTTGTCAGTACAGCCCCTGCTGCCTGTGGACTCTCATTGTGAGCCTGGGCCTGGAAACTAGAAACGGGTTAGAATTCTCAGGCCAGCTGCAAACCCACTAGGGCAGTAGCCTCAAGGGGTAGGGAGGTGGTAGCAAAAACCATCTCAGTGTTTGGTCTGTGGTGAACCTCTATCCTCTGCCACCTGTTGCTAATTTTGAAGGCACCTCAAGTTGGACCTGGCTTTGTGGTCAGCAAGGCTGCTCCTCCAAGAGACAGTCGCCTACAGCCATGTGCTGGTCACATCTGGTCTTCAAGATCCCAATGTGGTGTGGGCCATATAAAGCATTCTGCCTACACCTCTAGTGGCTCAATGCACATTCTACTATGTTTATAATGAGAGTAGCTTATCATCAACAAGGGCTGTTCTCATTAACCATGAATACTGACTAACTACTAAATATATGAATCATAAATAATCAGTCTTCCAAGGGGAAAAATATGGCCGTCCCCATTTCATAATTACTAAAAAAAGATACTAGGACTTACAGGTCTGCATTAGTCTTCATCTTACCATAAAGGTGAGGATACTAGTTTATGTAGAATGCTCATTGACGGAATGTAAGTGGAGAACATTGTTTCTGGAATAGCTTTAAGTTTTAATGTTTTATTTAGTCTCAACATGAAAAAAATTGGAGAAATTAAATGTTGAACTAAAATACTTGTTGAATTTTATTTCAAATTTATAGTTGTAAATCCATGGGTTCCCCCCCCCCCCCCACATCACTTATTAGGGCTGATAACAAGACACAGCAGTTAGAAAAGATTTCCTCAAGAGTGCTTGGGTGGCTCGGTCAGTTAAGTGTCTGACTCTTGATTTCTGCTTAGATCATGATCTCATTTTTCCTGAGATCAAGCTCCACATGGGGCTCGAGCTGACAGCATGGAGCCTGCTTGGGATTCTCTCTCTTCCTATCAAAATAAATACACTTAAAAAAAGAAAAGATTTCCTTAATATAGGATTCATTTATCTAAAGCTTCTCCCTCAGTATCACACATACTCTCTATTTTCTCACATAGAACCTCAGTAGTTTATTGTCATCCATAAGGTTTCTCTCCCTGTAGTAACCAATATAAAAGGTCAAAGAATACCCAAAAAATATGTATACAAAATTGTGTACTTTATTAAACCCTTAAAATCTTTTGTCTGGCCATATCTTAAAATTAAGTCATAAGGTTTGTTATGAATAGATTAGGTCAGATTTTCCTGTTAAGAAATGTGTTATCAGTGCTTTCATACAAGCATCAATAAATAATTAACCTTGATCTAGTGATGCTTTTTTGTCCAGAGGAAAAACAAAAGTAACTTCAACTATTTCAATCTCATTTAAGACTAACAACAACTCAGAGCTGCCACAGCTTTAAACAACTATCACTAAAGCCGCCACGATTCACTCTTAGCTTTCAATGTCTTATTTACCTTCACGGGCCAAATGTCCAGAAGAAATACTGCAATGAGGGAGATGTTGTAGAAGTCTGTGCTGTCTGCTTTGGTAGCCACATTTGGTAGTTTATTAACACTTGAAATGTGGCTACTGCAACAGAAGAACTAAATTTTAAATTTGACCTTATTTTAGCTAGTTTATGTTTAAACTTAAATAAGCACGAGAGGCTAGTCACAACCATATTATAACTGGTGACATAAGTAACATCAATAACATCAAGTGACAATCCGCAGTTTGGCAGTAATGAATTAGAGTAAAATTCATACAAAGCAAACAAAAGAGTTAAGCACAGAAGTTCAGGGTTATGTAGAATAAGGGCAATCAGGTGTAACCATTATGATCTCTGAAGGTATCACATATTAGGGAACATTTCAGTAAGTAGTGGTTTACCAGCAATTTCCAAGGTTAAGCGATAAGAATTTCATGACACATTCTGCTAAAGGTTCCCTCAGACCCTCCTGAAGCCAAGACTACGCTGTATGTTAACTAAGTTGAGAATAAAAAATAATAAATAAGATTCTCTCAGACCCAAGAAATCCACCTTAGTGTCCCCAGACTCAACCTCACAAATGCAGACAATTTTTCTTACCTGCCATCACTCCATAGGTCGATGGCTGGTTTCCATAATGACAGGAAGGAACAGAATAATGAAGTCCTGTTGCTGTGTTTCCCAACGATGTCACCAGGAAATATGCACACAAACATTTAGGAGTTTGGATCAAAGACAAAATAGACGGGACTGGTAAGAAAATGTATGAGGATTCAAGACACAGTCATTTCATTGCAAAAAGACACATTTATGGGATTCTTAAAGTTATATGGCAATAATTTGTTTTCACCTGGGGGAAATTCTCTGCTGAGGAGGCTAAAAGCAGAAATCAAATTTTGTCTTAGGTAACCAGATCATAAATTATCAATGTGGATGATAACAATCTTTAATTATGTTGTGCTCTATGAGGGGTGACTGACCGGTTTGGACATTGGCCAATTGGGAGTTGCAGAATTCTTGTAGGTTCCATCTCATATACACATTACAATAAACTGGAGGAATAATCTCGTAAAATTCTTGTATAATATCGTTGTATATAGTGGTCTTTCTCTAGAAGAATGGATACAGAAACCAACTCTTGAACAGTCATTATCTCTATTCTCCTAACAATTTCTTCCATCAAAGAGAAAATGGCCAAGCAACTGGTCTCTATTTGGATACAATCATAAAAACCCCACTAAATGCAGATGTTGATGAAAAATCCATGACAGTGGATGATGTCTTTCTGTTGATGTTGAAATCAAGAAGTTTTCTGGATGCCCACAATCAATGCAAAAATTCTAATAATAAAGCTGGTCAAAAAAAATTGTTGAGTGACTTGAGATCTATAAAGTTTGAAAGCAATATATAAATATTACCTCATTCATAGTTTTACTTGTCTTGTGGAATCAATGTGTATTATGAAAATAAATTTGAATTGCTAAACTTTAATCAAGCTTTAAGCATGAATCACCAAGTTGACTAAAAGTATGGGTATTGACAATAAAACCACTCCTTATGTATTTCCTCATTTTTCCTTCATATCCTGAACATAGTGATAGGTTTGCATAAATATGATTATAAATTCTTGAATAAATATAAGATATTATTAAGTATAGAATTAGAATCCTTTGAAAATTCTGAGATACAATCTAGTGATTAGAGATATGAGGTCACTTCAGAAAGCAACATTTTCTCTTACTATTGATAAATCTTCAAATTTTCATTTTAAAATTGACATGTAGAAAGAACTGAAGTAATTTTACATTATAATATTTTATATTATAATGATCAAATATGAAAATCTCACTATGCAATCCAAAATTAAACAAACATGAAACCCATGTTATATCCAATGCTCTTTTCATTATAGGCATTATTTCTACTTCCTTACCTAGTATATTATAATTTGATCTGATGGAAAAATTGTAAAATCAAATGCTATAATCATGTATTTAAATATTATTTAAATATATACTTAGAATAGATATATCTATTATTTAAAATATACAATTAACTGTGATAAATGCTTACATTTAATTATAGCACATATTTTTGGTTAAAATATTTTATTATATTTTCCAAAAAATATGTTTGGGAGACTTCCATTATTGCCTTTTTATTTAAATTATGAGAATCTTTGGTAGATGAAAAAAAAAACCCCTCTACATTAATAATTTTACCACAATCCAGATACATACTCTCTAGATTTAAAAAAAATTCAGCTGCAGATTAATCCCAAACTTACTTATGAAAGAAATTTACTTAATTCAAAACTTTGTCCGCTTATAAATCTACATTAAAAATTTGTTACTGCATAAAGAAAGGGTGCATTAGCAACACATACCTATTTGTATTTGAGACAATATATTCAAATTTTCAAGTTTAATTTTTACATAAGAAAGTTCTGTAAGAAAATATTAAAATTTCATTAGAGATTGAAGTCTCTTCAGAACTCAGTTTTGAGAGATATTAACTCAGTTTTATGGGTTCTAAATGTTACATGTGTCTTCTAGTTTTGATTTTTGAATTTTGAATTATGCTAAAAATGTTTGTTAAAATCATTTAATTATTTTATTCTTTGAAATCCGTAGTTTTTGGTATTGGGAATCATTCAGTTGTGTTTACTGTGAGGTATATGGCTGTTTTTGGACATGGTAAAACCAAATACATCTTTAAGATAAAGATGTATTTAAACACTATTTAGGCTATTGCTTTAGTTTGCTCTTGATCCATAAATGCTTACATAAAAATGCTTTTTGGATTAAAAACACCCAGACTCACTGTTACGTAGAAAATCCTCTTTATAATAAAACCAACAATTGAAATTAAAACGCTTACTAATAGTTCTTTAACAGTTTCTTAGGTACTTTGGCTTTTTAAATGTACTTAATATTTAACTTAAATTAAAGGAGAAAATAAAAGAAGCGAGGAGATTCTAAGCTAACAAGATCCAAAGGATCCATCCTGAAATCTTTAGGCCCAGCCGCACGGAGACCCGGATGGGAGTCAGTACCTGTAGACATCACATTGGTGGCGTGGTTGGAGACCGGGAGGCACTCGGCAGCGCTGTGATGCATTATCAGAGGCAGAGTTGCAGAAGACTCGGAATTCAGAGGTATAAAGGTATCAGCCGAAGTAAAAGGTTGGCAACTCATTCCCACAAGAGAGTAGAAAAAGGAGGAGAACTGCTGCTCCCCAAATCAGAGTTTGATTATATTACTGTTTCAAAGGGCCGTTTCAAATCTCACTACCTGCATATATACATCAGGAAGGCTCTGAAGCAACCAGGAGGGCGCGTGCTGGTATTTATACTGCAGGGAAATCCCTTTCTACATGTTAATCGTCTTTTTCCCAGGGGTATTGCTTTATCAATCTGAACCATCTTCCTCCTCACCCACACATAATCCGTGCCCAAGAGGGAACCTGGTTCTGGGGTATAGATGGACGGAAAGGGAGAAATCTGAAACTTTGACAACTTCAGTAATTCAGACATTTTAGAAAGGAATCAAGAACTTCAAAAATAAGTGTCCCTCAAAGAAATAATCCTAAAGTGAATTGAAAAATACTAGGTGTCTTTTTGCTACTAATACAGTAACAAATGTTTATATGTGAGAGGTTTTTTTTTTTTTTTGATGACTTCTCACTGTATCTTGAAAATAACAAAAAATACATACTACAAAATTTTAAGAAACTATAAATATTAAAAGCTTAAATCAAAAGGTCTAGAGAAAACTAATGAACAAATATATTGCCAACTACTGATTCAGACTCAACAATGCAATTTTGAAAAACTATGAAAACCATGCTGGGGATACTGTAGCAAACATAAGTAACCTGAGAGCCATAGATATTACTGACATAAGCGATGGCCATACTTCATAAGAATTGTTTTGAAATTTTGTATTATGGAATGTTTCAAGGTAACTTGGAATTGGTTGTTTTGTGCTAAACTTAACATTGACAAGATAATTTTTCAAAAACCTTGCAACTTGGACACTTTGGTACTAACCAAGTGATATTTCATAGGAAAATATAAGGTTACTCAAATCATTAGATACTGCCTGAAAAATATTTATTGTGTGACCTATTTTTTCATGCTGAATTCTGCATCTTTGAAGCTCTCTTAGTTTTCTCCAAGGAGAGAAAGTCAGAAGTAATCAAAAGTATTTATTACACTCTTGCAGAGTTTGGTTTTTAATTTTTCAAACCACATAAACAAAAAAAAATGGTTTTCAATGTGTTTATGGAGAGAATTTACTAGAAAAATTAAAATTATAGAGAAATTTAGATAAAAATAAGTTCCTTGGACAAAGAATATTTTAAAAAATAAGCTAAACGAAAGAGTCATTGGAATATGCTGGTAAGTATATTAACCCAGTGGTAGATAGTGAGGAGCACTGGAAAACCTCCCCGGTCAACAAGAAAAAGCTTTCTCAGCAGTTTGTCATGCTATCTAAAATTCTACAGTTGCAATCTTAGACAGCATTTCTTCAATGAAGTTTAAAAATTTTTAACTGCGGTGTGAAATGCAAACCAGAATGCCCCCGTTAAAATTGTATAAAACCAGGGGCACCTGGGTGGCTCAGTGGATTAACTGTCCAACGTCAGCTTAGGTCATGATCTCAGAGTCCGTGAGTTTGAGCCCTGTGTCGGGATCTGTGCTGACAGCTCAAAGCCTGGAGCCTGCTTCATATTCTGGGTCTCCCTCTGTCTCCCTGCCCCTTCCTGGCTTGTGCTCTCTCTCAAAAATAAAACAAAACCAAAAAATAGATGTTTGGTTTGTATAAAACCAAAAACTGGATGTTTTGGTTTGTATAAAACCAAAAAATAGATGTTTCCAACTGTAAATTTATCAGTTTTGTAAGCGGTTTTAATATTGCATTATATTGAGTTGTATAGATCTATTACAATTTGACCATTTCTTTATTGTTGGGTATTTATAATCACTTTCTGCTTTTTACTTTTATAAATAACAATGCAATAAATGTTTTTATTCTAAACTTTTTTTACACAAAGCATTTTCACAATATAATCTGTATTTTACAGTATTATCTAAATATCCTCCCATAGGACAGGTTTTCAGAAGTGGGATTATTGGGTTTATCTTATTTTTAAAGGGCTTATTTGAAGGGGCACATGCACCACAATGTTTATAGCAGCACTATCAATAATAGCCAAATTATGGAAAGAGCTAAAATGTCCATAGACTGATGAATGGATAAAGAATGTGTGGCATGCACATACATACACACACACACACACATATATATATATATTATATTATATATTGCATATATATATATATATTATATGCAATATAATGGAATATTGCTTGGTGATCAAAAAGAATGAAATCTTGCCTTTTGCAACTACGTGGTTGGAACTAGAATATATTAAGTGAAATAAGTCAGTCAGAGACAAATATCATAGGATCTCACTCCTATGTGGAATTTAAGAAACAAAACAGATGACATATGGGAAGGGAAGGAAAAATAAGATAAAAACAGAGAGGGAGGAAAACCATAAGAGACTGTAGAGAACTGTAGAGAACAAACAGGGTTGCTGGAGGGGTATTGAGTGGTGGGATAGCTAAATGAGTGATGGGCATTAAGGAGGGCATTTGTTGGGATGAGCACTGGGTGTTATATGTAAGTGATGAATCACTAAATTCTACTCCACAAACCATTATTACACTATATATTAACTTGGATTTAAATAAAAAAAGAAATACATTAAAAAAATAAAAGCTCAGAAAACAAAAGATTTTTAAAGTTCTTAAAAAAACATTCCCAGGGGCGCCTGGGTGGCGCAGTCGGTTAAGCGGCCGACTTCAGCCAGGTCACGATCTCGCGGTCCGTGGGTTCGAGCCCCGCGTCGGGCTCTGGGCTGATGGCTCAGAGCCTGGAGCCTGTTTCCGATTCTGTGTCTCCCTCTCTCTCTGCCCCTCCCCCGTTCATGCTCTGTCTCTCTCTGTCCCAAAAATAAATAAAAAACGTTGAAAAAAAAAATTTAAAAAAAAAAAAACATTCCCAAATTGCTTTAAAAAAACCACAAAACTTAAGAGTAGTTTTAGGTTCACGGCATAATTGAGCAGAAAGTATGAGAGTTCCCATATACTCCCTGCCCTCAAATGTGCACAGTCCTCTCCACTATCAAAACCACCCACCAGAATGATATATTTGTTACAATTGAATCCACATTGACACAGCATTTTCACCCTAAGCCAGTTATTTCAGAGTTCACTGTTGTTAAATATTCTATGGGTTTTGACAAATGTATAATGACTTGTGTCTACCATTATAGTATCAAGAAAATACAGAATAGTTTCACTGCCCAACACATCCTCTGTTCTCTATTCATTTCTCCCGTCTAACCTCTGGTACCACTTACCCTTTTTATTGTCTACGACGTTTTGCCTTTTCCAGAATGTCATAGTTTGAATTTCATAGAATGTAGCCTTTTCAGATTGACATCTTTCGCTTAGTAATATGCATTTAAGATTCCTCCCGGTCTTTCATGGCTTGATAGCTCATTTCTTTTTAGCACTGAAAAATATTCCATTGTCTGGATGCACCAGTTGATTTATCCATTCACTTACTGAAGAATACTTTGTTGCTTCCAAGTCTTATGCATTATGGATAAGGATGCTAAAAACATTTGTCTGCAGATTTTCGTGTAGACATAAGTTTCCAACCCCTTTGGATAAATACTAAGGAACATGACTGTTGGATTGTATGGTTAATGTATGTTCAGTTTTGTAAGAAACTACCAAAATGCCATCCAAAGTGGTTGTACCATTTTGTATTCCCACTAGGAATGTATGAAAGAGAGAGTTTCTGTTGCTCCATATCCTTGCCAACATTTAGTGTTGTCACTATTTTGGGTCTTAGCCATTCAGGTAGGTGTGCAGTGGTATCTCATTGTGTTAATTTTTTAATTCCATGATAGCATATGTCATTGAGCATCTTTTAATATGCTTATTTACTATCTATATATCTTCTTTAGTGAGGTGCTTATTCAGGTCATTTAATCATTTTTAATTGGGTGTTAGTATCCTTGTTGAGTTTTACGTTCTCTTTTTATATTTTGGATAACGATCCATTATCAGATATGTCTTTTTTAAATATTTTCTTCCAGTCTTTGGCTTACATTCTGAATTAATTTTTCAAGCAATAATAAATTGCTTAATAATAATTATTATTATATTTATTAATAATAAATAATAATAATAATTGCTTGAATTATTGAATAATAAATAATTGCTATTATTATTTGGTTTCAAATATCAAGAACAAGTTGAACAAAAAATAGTTGTTTGTTATTAGGAGACATGGGGTTTCCTGGAACTCATGGAAATCAGGCCATTGGGAGAGACTGAATAGAAATTAGAAAGCCATCTGCTAAATCTGACTCACCTATCTCCTTTTCCCTGTGTCTCTCACTTTTCTCAATCTCTGCAAAACAGCCTGGCTGATTCTCCATCTATGGCCACTTCACATATCTCCAGATCATATCATGCCTTAAGCTTCTTTTTTTAATGTTTATTTATTTTGAGAGAGAAAAATCACAAGTGGGGAGGGGCAGAGAGAAAGGGAGAGAGAGAATTCCAAGCAGATTCCATGCCGTCATCACAGAGCCCCATACAGGGCTCAAACCCACAAACTGTGAGATCATGACCTAAGCGGAAATCAAGAGTCAGACGCCTAACCGACTGAGCCACCCAGTTGCCCCATGACTTAAGCTTTTAGCCAGGCAAAAAGATTACCTTACTACTGCTCAGTTTACATTCTGATTGGCCATGGCTATGGATGTGTTCTAGAGGTAAAACACTGTTCCTGGTACCCACACTTATGAATGGATTGGTTTGCACTGGAAGCACTCAGGCATTTGTAGACAATAAGTGATAGATTGGTATCTGGGAAGACATTCATAAAATGCAACAGATGCTGTTCCACCATTTTACAAAAGTACCAGTAGAGTAAAATTGACAATTCTCTTGCATTCTCAATGTCAATAATAAAACTAAATACTTAGGCTTTATTAGTCTGTTAAGACAATGACATCTTATTAATAGAAATTGCATTTTTGATTGCTAATATGCTATCTTTTCATATGTTATTTGTGTTTAGTTTTGTTAGCAGACAGTATATTTCAC